TGTGATATATTCGACGATTTAGATGATGTGCAAAATGCCTGGGAACTGTTATATAAAGACGTGGTAGATGAGTATATCACAGAGCGAAAGGTCAAAGTAAGACAAAATTCATTGCCGTGGGTTAATACGGAAATCAGAAAGCTTTTGAATAAGAGGTTTAAACTTTTGAAGAACTGGCAGCACACTAAAAATCCAATAGCACATAAGAAATATAAGGAAGCGAGAAATTTAGCAAATATTCGGATGAGAAAAGCGGAAGCCGAGTATTGGAAAAGTGAATTTGATAATGCAACTAACTCTAATGAATTCTGGAAGGTAGTGAAGAAAGTGCACAGGAAAACGAAATCAATAAAAATTGGACCACTTGAAGATGACCTAGGTAATGTACAAACAGACGAAAAGGAAAAGGCTGAATTGATGAATAATTACTTTGCAACAGTTGGCGAAAAGTTGGCGGAAGCATTCCCTGCACAAATAGAATCGGAACAGTTTATATTGAGAATAACTCCAAGTATTGATGAGCTGAAAATTGACGATAAGTTATTAGTGAACCAAATTAAAACAATCAATCCTGATAAAGCATCCGGACCAGATGACATCAAACCAAAAGATTTTAACATTGCTGGAGAGGCATTAATAGACGGCTTGCGTATTGTCTTTAAAAAGAGTAGAGAAACGAGAAAATTACCCCAAGCATGGAAAAAGGGAAAATTAAAAGCTGCATTTAAGAAAGGAAATACAACAAAGCGATCAAATTACAGACCCTTGACCATGCTAAGTCTTCCCAGTAAAATGCTTGAAAAACATGTTTCACAACAGATAGATGAACATATAAATCAACATAATCTATCGAATGACAAGCAGTGGGGTTATAAAAGAGGAAGATCGACCGAGTTGTTATTGTTAAATCTAACAGAACATTGGAAGATGGCACTTGATAGTGGAAAAACAGTTGGCATTTTATTTATAGATTTTAAAAAAGCGTTTGACAGTGTCAACCATACCATTTTAATGGGCAAGATACAAGGAAAGGGTATAGCAGGAGAAGTATACGAATGGTTAAAAGATTACTTGACTGATAGGCAACAATTTACAGATCTAAATGGCCTTTACTCAAGCTCACGAACTGTAAAATATGGAGTACCACAAGGATCGCTATTAGGACCGCGACTATTCAAGATATACGTTGACGATCTTCCTGATAATGTAAGTGAAGGATGGGTGTATATGTTTGCTGACGATACTACTGGATATGACATTGGAGATAATATTGATGTAGCGACAGATAAATTAAATCAAATGGCCGGAGAAATATACGAATGGTGTAGGAAAAATAAGATAACTGCACATATAGGCAAAACAGAAGCAATGATACTGTCACAACAGCCCTTTTATGGTCCAGTAAAACCGATATGCTTTGGAAATGAACAGATAAAACTTGTAACAACAACACAGTCATTGGGGGTAACAATTGATAATAGACTGACGTGGAAGGAGCAACATAAAAAGGTAATAAAATCATTCAGCGCAAAACTGTCCCAATTAAAAAGAATGAAGTATCTACCGAGATATGTACTGGAGGAAATTTATCACAAAGCAATCATACCAAACGTGACATACGGCATACTAGTTTGGGGAACATGTTCACCTTCGTTAATGGATGATTTAGAGAACCATCACGTAAGAGCGGCAAAGATGATATATAACATTCGGCAAGATAATTTAACGAATGAACAAATACTAGAAAAAGTAGATTGGAAACCTATAGGTGATATATATAAAAAGCGTATCTTGACTTTAATGCATGATGTATATTATATGAATGTTCCACAGGATTTGCAAAACCTATTCACACAAACTGTGAGAATAGGAAGACGAAAACAGAATTTTAATCTGGTTAGGTGTAAAACCGAAAAAGGAAGGACATCTTTACGGTACAGAGGTCCTATAGCATGGAACCAACTTGATAATGACACTAAGGCGATAGTTAATAAAATCGCATTTAAAACTAAAATTAGGAATAGTCCAAACTTAGATAGTATAAATTTTCTTAAAGAAGCAGCTGTTAATAACAACAAGAATACTAAAGACTTCAAATATTTCTAAATAGGTATGATTTTGTAAATTTTATATTAGTTTAGCCTAGTTCGCAGGTCCACATCAGCTTTTAGTTGACATATGTAATTAACCTGCATTATCAAATAAAGTATGAATGAATGAATGAATAGTTTGATATTTTTGTTTTGATTTAAATTTAGAATTTTGTGAATCAATTTTAACAATCATCAAACAATCATTTTCGAAACCTATTCTAATAATTGTCACTTTATACTAACTTTCTAAACAGTGTTTAATTATTTTTCGAATCAGCAGTTATGTAGTTATGCATTAAACTTATCTGGATTATAAAACTATAAAAAAATGCAGGGAGACTTTAAGTGTATCCCAAATTCTGCATTGACAATTCGCCCTTGTTCTCAACACCAGTCTGGGTCTGGTCAGATCTACGACGACGACTTCGCTGTATCATGAAGAGCAGGGCACCAATCAGAACCACACTGAGACAACCGAATCCATTCAAGGAACCAATCAGCGTTGTGTTCGATGCCTCCGAATGAGCTGTAAAACGGTAAAGATGGACAATTAGGATATCATAATATAATCACAGTGAAAATACATCTCTGCATTGTAACAGCTATTCCAGCTTCGGTCGGGCTCCAATTTGGTCGCAGTTTGCTTGTACTGCTTACTATTATGAGCCTGTGATACTCACCCCCAGCACTCTTGTCAGCGGATTCCTTCCCTTTCATCACTGGGCCAAACGACAGTGCATACATACCAGACACATCTTCTGACTGCTGATCAACATCACGACGATAACGTCTGGAACATGAAGTACTTCGCGCACAGGTGGAGTTGTAGTCATACCTATGACACACCACCAGGTCACAGTGTAGGTAGACAAAGCGATGATCTGACAGAAAGCGGAATGCCTGCATACTAAAACGCTGCACAGAACTCATTCCGTACGAGTAATGGCGAATCGTTTCATCTTTGTCGCAACTGAAATAAAATATGGAAATTCAATGAAGCCACTAGTCTTCAATGAATGAATGAAATTTATTTAAGGGTAAATTTGAAGATCTTAAAGATCTTTTATCATAAGATTTACTACTGATCCAGTTGATCACAATCCACGATTTCTTATTTATCATATAGACCCGGAGCGAGGGGGATTCGGCGTAATATTTCCCGAAGTGATGATATTTTCCGAGGGGCTTTGCCCAGAGGAAAATATTATCACTGAGGGAAATATCGCCGAATCCCCCGATCGGAGGGTCTATAAATGATATATTGTACCGAAAGTTAAAGAACTCACTAAGTTCAGAATAAACTTTAAAACTTGCTGAATACTTTATAACTACGCGAATACAATTTTTAATTTCTTATGTATACCTGAGTTTTTGACGTTTCCTCTTTAAAATATTTGAGCATGTGTCCTTTGGATCATTAAAGGTAACATACGTCTTGAAAATCTTTGGTTAAATCAAATCTTCTGTACGAAATTTATACAAACAACAGCTCGCGAGCGCCATATTGATTCAGAGCGTGGTGTCCACGCGTGAGCGTGGGATACTATAATATCCCACGGTGGATCTGCCGTGGGATATTATAGTATCTCACCGCGCTGCATTGCGAAATCATGAATTTGAGTGAAATATTACAGAACGTGGTACAAATGCTGTTTTTTCAATGGGACAATTTGAATTTGAGGTATAATATTTAATTAAATATCACGGCAAATGTTAGTAGAAAATTACATCAAGGTAAATGCTAAAGTGTTGAAATAGTCAAAAGCGGTTGTGCACAATTATATTGTATTGTTAACCCACTAAATTTTAATACATTTCAATCATTTTTGGAAAACAAAATCCGTAACCTCACAAATTTCTGTAAAATCCTAAAGGGATGAGATTACTTGAGATTATTACCTTGTGGCAAATCATGTCAGCCATAATATGTCACGTGGAGTGACTTTATATCTGATAAAGCATGTGGCATTATATAATTGTTCATCCTAATTAGTATGATTATATAATGTTCATCCTAATTAGTATTCTTTTGTAGTCGTATTTTAAGCTATTCAAAACACTCGTTGTCGTGTTTTATCAGACATAAAACGCTCGGCTGCGCCTCGCGTTTTATATCTGATAAAACACTCCTGCTCGTTTATTAAACAGTACTTAAACTAGTGTACCAAAAGTAGGGGGTGGGTGAGTTTTCAAACTCATCAATTCAGAGAAAAGTTGAAGAAGGTAGTCGCCAATCAAGTTAAGGATAACCTATATCCTCAACTCACAGAAGAAGATTTGAATCAGTGGTATGACAAATACGGTTAATTACCCTTACTTCCTTATAAATCTTCTCATAAAGTTGCTCATAATTATAGTCAAAACTTAATGTAATTGTTTCTGCCTACCCGTCAGCAATAAAGACGTATTGTGGAGTGTCGTAAGGTCTGTTGGTGGGCGTCGCTCTACACGTTTCTGCGCGCACGACGAGATCCGATTTACTGGCGTTGATAGAGTACTGGATATAAAGATTATCTGACAGGGATTTCAACACTGGATAGTCTTGTGATGTGTATGGCTGGCGATAATTTATGCTATTGAACACATCCATTCTAAGAGAGAAATTGCCTTGACCACCTAGAAAACGATTTACAATTAGAGATAGATGATCAGTCTGAACAAACTTGGACAAGGAAAACATATATTCACAGTCCTTTCTGATAATTTATCTGAGTTTGGATGGTTCAAACAGACAGATAATCCATTAAAACAAATAAAAGACAGTTAGTTTTATAATTCATTTGTGTTTAGATGATTCAAACTTGCGAATCAATCGTTCGACCAAACTTCACACATTGTTCCTTACACAGACGAATGGCAAAGCCTCAGGTTATAGCATTCTGGAGTGTCAAGATTCTAGTTTCGTATCGCCGAAATCAGAATTTATTTTCGAGCTTTAACAGCTGCTACAAGCGAAGCAAACAACTCACTATATTTACTCGCTTCAAATATGAATAATCGGCAGCCTAATGCTGTCAATATATCATGATAAAATAGGCTAGATTTATCAGTTGTCTAAGCTGTTCTTTTTAGAGGTCCAGCAACGGGCATTTTTTATTATCCCAATGTAACTGCAGAAATAAATTTAAACTAAACTAACTTTATTTGTACAAGACATAGCTCCTTCTCTTATTTACCTAATATCAGGGCCTCTTTTAGCATATAGACTGGGGGGGGGGGGGCATGTCCCCCC